CATTCTGAAGATTTAGTAAGCTCCCATTTGGCTTTTTGGGGTTCTTGACTGCTGTCAGTTTCACTGTGGCCTTCCTAGCTAGAAATTTGCCTGACAGCTTTAATGAAGCCAAATTTATTACCTTCAGCATGTTGGTATTTAGCAGTGTCTGGGTGTCATTTGTTCCCACCTATTTGAGTACCAAGGGAAAATACATGGTGGCTGTGGAGATCTTCTCCATTTTGGCTTCAGCATCTGGTTTACTTGGCTGCATCTTTTTCCCAAAATGTTATATCATTATTTTGAGACCTGATCTAAACAGGAAGAAACAATTAATGAAGAAATGAAAATTACCCTTTGTATAAAGCTGAATTGGTTACTTTTGGTAATTTTTGGTTTTGTATTCTCTCCATCATCACATCAATATGACATGCAAACCAATTACACTTAGAAGTTCATTTCAACTGCCCTGCATCTTTTGTTTGAAATGTTAGGTAATTATTCTAAGCCCTTATCAGAATAGTGAGAGATAACAAATCAAGAAGAAGAATATTTTAGTGATATCATGTGCATTAATGTAAAATGAATTGATTTAAATCCTGCATCTCATGAACTTCACAGCATCCTGTTGAAAGGAAAGAAAATGCCTATTTTTATATCACTCATAATACCAATGTATTCCTGGTACATGTGAAGGCAAAAGTTTCTCATCTTTGCAGTGTTTTGAGATGCTGTTAATAAAAAAAACTAAGTGATAACATGAGTGCCTTATTTGCCACTTTACGGTCTCCCAATATTCCCCCGAATCATATAGGAAAATTCCCATTAAAATCCCTTCCCACAATTCTCAAAGTTTGTGAGTCACTTTGGAACACTCACTCTGGATAGGGACGAACAGGCTCAAGCTCAATACCTCCAAGACTGAGTGGCTGTGGTTCCTGTCATCCTGATTTGTGCATCTTGTGCCATCTTTGATGATAGGAGGGAAATTTTACCCCCCTCAGAGAGGGCCTGCAATCTGGGAGTCCTCCTGGATACGTGGCTTAGTTTAGAAGAACACCTGATGGCCATGACCAGGTTTGCCTTTTACCAGGTTTGCCTGGTACACCTTTTGCGCCCCTTCCTTGATTGGGATGCCCTGTGCACAGTCACTCACGCCCTCGTTCTTTCTCGCCTGGACTACTGTAACACTCTCTACATGGGGCTGCCCTTGAAGAGCACCTGGAGGTTTCAGCTGGTCCAGAATGCAGCCGCGCAGGTTGTCATGGGGGTACCTAGGTACTCCCATGTTACATCCCTTTTAGGCGGCCTGCACTGGTTGCCGGTTGTTTTCCGGGTGTGATTCAAAGTGTTAATTATGATCTTTAAAGGGCTCCATGGCCCAGGGTAGTTGTGAGACCACATACTGCCACCACTAGCCTCCCACCATCCAGTATGATCCCACAGAGTTGGCCTCCTCAGGGTGCCGTCAGCCAGGCAGTGTCAGCTGGCGATCCCCAGGGGGAGAGCCTTCTCTGTGGGCATGCCTTCCCTTTGGAATGAGCTGCTCCCAGAGCTTCGCATAATTCCCGACCTACGGTCCTTCCGGTGCGCCCTAAAAAGTTGGCTTTTCCAGCAAGCCAGCTTGACCTGAATAAAATAAATTATTAATTTTAATTGTTAATTTTAATTTAATTTCTAAATCTCAATGTAAATGTCTATTGGGATTTTTTGGATATTCTATTTAATCATTCTTTTAACTTTTGTAATATGTGTTTTTATGTTGTATACCACCCTGAATTCTTTGGAAGAAGGGTGGCATATAAGTCCAATAAACCTGTAAACTTGGTATAGCATGTAAGGTTCTAGGCCAGAAACAATGGGGCCAACTGTTCTTTCTCTCCTTTAATCATGGACGCCTAGGAGATATGTTGTTCTGGAAACTGTGGAGACATGTTTGAAGTTGATAATATTGGAGATCTTCTTCTCAGCTTCCCTGAGAATGTAGCCTTATTCATGATGAGCACTGTCCCACCATTGGTGGCTTATTTAATTAAGAATTATTCTTAATTATTATTTCTGACATCTAATACTGCCCTATAAAGGTTCATGCATTGATTATTTTGGTTTTAACTTGATGGTAAATGCAAATAATTGTAGACATCCATTCATTGTTGCATTTATCTAGGTGTCCATGCATTGTCATAGTTAGCCATTCAGTCATGTCTGACCCTCAACTACTCTATGGATCAGCACTGCTCAATAAATAAAGGGGAAAAAATAAAGGTTTTGACTAATTTGTTCAACTGGGTTCTCTTTATTTTTAAAACTTGTGTGGAAAACATATTACACTTTAATTATTGATTTAGGCAGAAATATTGAAAAATAAAATGGATTCATAAACATTTAAGTGTCAATGTATCTTTCAGGGTGCCAAAAAAAACTGTACATTGATACATAGGTAAAGCTAGGGAATACACATGGCCTCATCAATCTGCCAGCAGAATAGCAATAGCAATAGCAATAGCAGTTAGACTTATATTCCGCTTCATAGGGCTTTCAGCCCTCTCTAAGTGGTTTACAGAGTCAGGACATTGCCCCACAGTCTGGGTCCTCATTTCACCCACCTTGGAAGGATGGAAGGCTGAGTCAACCTTGAGCCGGTGAGATTTGAACCGCTGAACTGCAGATANACACACATATTGTTAAAGCCAATAATAGAAACCTCACTTATAGCCTTCTCGTTGCTCTCCTGCTCTCTTTCCTTTGCAGTTTGCTCTTCATTGGGAAACCTGACCAAGTGAAATGTCTCTTGCGACAAACTGCTTTTGGCATCATCTTCTCTGTAGCTCTTTCTTGTATATTGGGGAAAACAATCATAGTGGTCCTTGCTTTCATGGCCACCAAGCCTGGATCCAAAATTAGAAAATGGGTGGGGAAAATGCCGGCTATCCCTATCTATCATGTTTTGATTGGTTGTTTGCATGGCTTTCTCCCATGTTTTCCTTTTCCACCACCCATTATTTCTCACTTTATTTTCGGCTAATTTCTTTTTGGGATACCATTTTCCTTTTTTCCTCTCTGCTCTTTCTGTGCCTCTATAAAGTCTCAATAGCATTGTCCCACTGAGTTTTGTTTTTCATTTCTTTTTCTACCTTGTTAATTTCTTGTCCATTTACATTCCTTGTCTGTTCCTCTTCTTTCTTCTGTTTCAACATTTCTTCTGGCTCCATTTCTGGCTCTTTGTTACCTTTTAATGTTCCTCATCTATTTTTTAACCATTTCCTCGAACATCCCACCCTCCATGATTAGATTTAACAGACTTTTAGCACTAGTTATGCTTTTGAAATGGTCTTCAAGTGCAGCACCATATAAAGGTCATTCCGGTAATCAAACTGGGATCTCATTAATTGTACAGATTGCTGTAAAATTGGAATATACTGAAAATGAAATGATGAGATAATGTTTCTATGAATGATTTCTTTTTCAGACTTGGATGACTGTTTCCCTTGTCCAGAAGATCAATATCCAAACAAGAATAAGGATAGTTGCCTTCCAAAACATATAGTTTACTTAAC